AAGTTTATATTTGCTTTAATCACTGCCAATTCATGAAATTCAGGTTAAAAAGTAGATTTTTTAAAAAAAAGTAGACATTTGACTTGTTTTTTCTTGTGTAGCTTCTGAATACAGTTAGTTCTAGACAGGTTTTAAAGTTCGTTCATGTCTCACCCTGTGTTGTATACTTTTGCCCTTAGAGTGGTTTCTCATGAGTTAAAAGTGAATTTGGTTACAAAATGGGTAAATAGATTTATAACCATATGGACCACATTGATAAATTGAAGTTGTGCCAAGGCAACTTGAGAAGTGTGAGGACTAAGCAGAATAGTAAATTTAAGTAAATAGCTTCCTGGCACAAACTTACCATAGAAATGGAAACATTAATTTTCAAATTTTATTTTATTTGCAAATGAGTACGATGGGTTTGTCATTATGTAAACACAAATATCACAATGGATCTTTTAAACAAATTTGATAGAGGTGAGTACTTGGGCACGATGACATGCTCAAAGTGCAAGTATATGCCTCCAGGAGTTCTATTTATGTTACACTGACCTTTGCTTTTAACTTTGTCCCTATTCATGAAATGTGGGAAGACTTCATCTGTGTTCTGACGATTGCTTTTTCTATCACTTTGGTATCTGGCTAGCATGATTAGAGCTTGGAAAAAAATGTTTTAGACCAGTTATTTTCAAATAGCAGGAATAACACCTCCCCTCCCCTCTTTTTTTCTTTTGTTCGTACTGGTAGTCAGGGTAAGGAGCCTGGTTAAATTGCTCACTGCAGAGTGTGTTTAACTAGTTAACAGCTCTTTTCAATTTTCTATGCTTCTCTGTTTTCTTAAGTCTTTTTTCTTTTTCTACTCACTAATCTCCTTTAACTTTCTTTCTTTCTCTTTTTTTCCTAGTTCTCCTTGGATTATTCTACAACTGTAACAATGGGTACATAATGAGCCATCTTTAGAAAATAAAAGTGACATCGGCTCTAGGTATAGATATCTTTTTTATAATGAAAAAAAGATGACATGGATAATAATAAAACATTGGTTGAAGGATGAGCGACCTTGTTTCTTAATGTTTAGAGTTTGAGAAGAATATTAAAATTTTAGTCAATAAAGTACACCTTTCAAAGCAAACATGCAAACAAACCTTTAACAACAAAAAGTTGCAATATGAATATCCTTCCCCCAAAGGGAACTATTTAAAATTGAACCTATACTTTTGCTTGTGTGTAAAGTTATTAGTGATATATACCTGTGAATAATTTTGTTCTGCTAATTTGTAGTATTTCTGTTGCCTTCTGGATTTCTACATTTTCTTCTCTATATGTTAATTTTTTTCACATGCAATGTTTGTTTATTTTAGGCTATCGCCCCATTCCAGCAGAGACTTATGTAGGAGGGACCTTACCTCTGCCTCCCCCAGTTAGTGACAGGATGAGGAAAAGAAGGGCCTTTGCTGATAAAGAGTTGGAGAACATTATGCTGGAGAGAGAATATAAAGAGAGGGAAATGTTGGAAACTTCCCAAGCTGCCTTGTTCCTGCCCAACCGCATGGTGCATGGACCTGAATACAACTCCTACAAAAGTGCCTACAGCCCCACCCCAGTAGAAGCACCAAGCAAAGACTTCTGCAATTTTTTGCCCACCTGCCTTGATCTAACCATGCAGTATTCAGGGTCTGGTAATATGGAACTGATTTCTTCCAATGTTAGCGTGGCCACAACTTACAGACAGTATCCCTTGTCCTCGAGACTTTTAGTTTGGCCCAAGTGTGGCCCCATTAGTGACGCTCTCCTCTACCAGCAATGCCTGCTAAATGCCACCACTTCAGTTCAAGCCCTGAAACCTGGGGCCAGCTGGGACTTGAAGGGAACACGAGTCCAGGACGGACTCAGTGCGGAACATGACATGATGCCTCCGAAATTGGAAGGCTCCCTGGTGCTGCCTCACACTCCTGAGGTCCAGACCTCCAGAAGTGACCTTCAGGGTCACCAGGCTGTCCCCGAGAGGTCTGCATTCTCCCCACCCCGACGGAATTTCTCTCCGATTGTTGACACGGACTCCTTGGCAGCTCAAGGGCACGTCTTAACCAAGATCAGCAAAGAAAACACGAGGCACCCTCTGCCACTTAGACATAATCCATTCCATGCATTATTCCAGCAAACGCTTAATGACAAATCAGGTCCTGAGTTGAAAACACCATTTGTCAAAGAGGCCTTTGAAGAAACCTCTAAGAAACACAGAGAGTGTTTAGTCAAGGAGAACCAGAAGTACACTTTTACAATAGATAGATGCGCAAAAGACCTTTTCGTAGCCAAACAAGTTGGAACAAAACTCTCGGTGAATGAACCGCTGTCATTTTCTGTTGAGTCTATTCTTAAGAGGCCTTCTTCTGCCATCACTCACGTTTCTCAGTAAAAGCTGCTTAAATGGAAAGCTGGACTTTCTGCAGTCTCAGAGGGTTCTTGCTATTTGCTGATATTATGTTAAAGTTAAGTTGTTTGTATACAGAATTTTCTAATGTAAATGATGATTTCTAAAAATTCTACATATTCATATGCATGTACTTCTCTTTGTCCCATAAATATATTTAAACTTAAAGATGGAAATTGCTTATTGTGCAAATTGTAAGGTTCTTTGCTTTATGCAGCATTTCAAAAAGCAATAAAATTGACACTGTCTTCTAAAAGACCCAGTGTTTGCTAAAGCAAATAGCTGTCTCTGTCTAGATGAAAAAGCTAATGTCTATTAAATATCTTCTTTATTTTTCTATAATTTTGTGTATTTTCAAGCACTTTCAATGGTCACTGAGGGTCCAGGAAAGCCCTTATAATGCTTTAGTTTTGCATTGTGGAGGGCATGTACATTTAGCTGTTCAAGACTGAGGAAAAAAATAGCTTTAAGGAGAATATAGGGCTGTTTGCATGTTTATAGAATCTTAATTTCATGTGATTGGACAGAGTTGAACTAATTTGAAGGGAAATCAAGTGTAATATCTCATTTATGTGATGATGTGGATTTTGGAATGGATTTTTTTAACTCCCTGGGTCCCTCAGTTTCTTTCTCTAAAGGGATGCATATGGGGAGCCTCAAGCCTCCTTTCTAGGAATGGAGTATTCCTTTGAATATTTTTAGCTCCTTCGAACATTCTACGATTTTAGGTTGGTAGGGGCATGAAGCAGATTCCCTCGTAAGGTCAGTTCAGTCCAGGATGGTGCCCTAGCCCCTTCTCACCTCCTGTGTTAGTTCCTGGTTTCCTAAAGACTGGTGACAGCAGGCGTTGAGACACAGGCCCAGTCATAGCTCTCATCTGGTCCCTGAGTATCAGCTTTATGCCTCCCACGTTTGCACCAGTGTCAAAGGCTCTAGTGTAGCTCTCTTCTGAGATAAAAACATTTACTATTCAAATTGCTTCAACTGACAGTTGCTGAAGCCTGCAGATGTTTATCACAGCATGAGGGTGGCTTCTTGATTCTTGTACCTTTTCTCCCCGCCTTTTAAGTTCCTTGTTACCGTCTTCTTTTGCTCAACACAGTGTTAACTGTTTCCCATATGATTGATAAAATGAGACTAAAACATTTATGAGAGCATTAAATTCACCCCTTAAGACTTCACCTCTGGGCCTCAAATCAAGTTCTACGATGTCATGGTCATCTCAATACAGAAAATCAAGAACCGAATATCTCGCCTTTAATGCTGCCATGCAGTGAGGTTTTACTTACAATTCTACTCATCTGGGGAACGAGAACTCTAGGTGGGCATGTGGAATATGCCAAGTGATTCAGCAGTTTAAAGAGTTTCTTTCTTGCTCTTTAAAACATTTAAGATTATTTAAAAATGATTTTGCTACTGATGAGCTCATGTAAACCCCTTGGGGTTCTCTGAATTGTTGCTTAAAATTAGCATCGGTTTCAAAAATAACAAGCCAAACCTTAGGTAGATTTTCAGTATGTACTTGTAAAGTAATACTTGTCTCTGTTGAGTCAAATTTACTTATTTTTACTGTTGCTAAAGCCAGAGCGAATGGAAGTTTGCCAGAGGGAAAGAAAATGAAAGCAGGCAGACAGTCCAATAACTGTTAAAGATTATCATTAAGTGAAAAAAAATGTTTTCCAGCCAAGTATGCCCTGGTGTCAGAGACGGAATCCAACTCCAGACAGAATCCCTCCCAATCATCTCTGTTTTATCTATGTGGTCACTAATTTTTGTCTTCTTATCAGAAATGTATTCTGTCAAGTATTAAATGTCAACTTAGCATTGAATCAAACGGCTTTAGCAGTAATAAGAGAGAACATGTCAGAATAAAACTACATAAAAGAATCCCAGTGAGAAGGCTTTCTTAATCCAAACATGGATTTTCTCTTTTTCACTCAATTTTCACAGTGTGAATACTTTTATTTGTTAATTTTTTTCCGTTTTGTATTCAATGAACATATTGGGACGTATTTTCTGTCTTCTCTCTACATCATTTAAATCCTATTAAGTGAATCCAGTTGGCTGTAAATATTAGTGGTTTTTCTCACATTACCAGCGACCAGAATTTTATTGTTCTCAAACATTTATGAGGCTCAGTACTTTTCCTGGCAAATTTATTAGTATACTATGCATTAGTTCTGCTGTAATGATGAGTTCTTGGAATTTCAAACCTACCAAATCTACCACTGGTCACTTAATAAGAGCTTTGTGCTTGGCTCTTTGATTTTTAAAATCATTTCACTTCCATGAAAGCTACTAGGTAGAGTCTTCAAAGAGCAATGTCATTGACATATTAAATCAAACTTGCGGTTCAATTTAAGCACTTTTCTTTGTTAAAGGCAATGGATGGATTTGGTTTTAATCATTTTTGAGAATGTGAAGGATAGTAAACATGGACGTTTTCCTCAGTTTAACTCACGATACAATAATATAGCTTTAATGACATGTTTTTCCTTCCATCTCAACTGATACAAGTGCTATTTTTTGCCCAATTTGCAGTTTTCAAAAGTTTACAACAGTGCTTCTCAAACTTTAATGGACAATTGAATCACCTGGGAATCTGGCTAAAATTCGGGTGGCCTGAGATTCTGCATTTCTAACAAACTCCTGGAAGCTGATGCTGCTGGTTTTCAGACCATATATATATATATATTTTTTGTCTTTTGTCTTTTTCCGTGTCCGGCAACGGATCGCAACCCTCAGTGTTGCCCCCATACCGGACCGGGGACCGGCAACGGGATTGTAACCCTCGGCGTTGCCCCCGCGCCTCGCTCAGCCAGTGAGCGGGAACTGGTCTCCACATGGGATCTGAACCCTCGGCGGGAGCGCCACTGCGCTCTCAAGCGGCGCACTCTCCAGTGCGCCACCGGGCCGGCCCTCTAATATGATTTTGATCATGTTATCGGATCATCTGCCCTCGAAAGCTTCATTTCAATTATGTAATGAAAGACTGTAACTTATATTAAAAAACTTTCCAAAATTCTTTCTGCAAAGTTTCAGAAGTGCTACAGAGCAAAGAAATGGCTGAAGGTCAAGATGAAAAAATAAGGAGAAGCCATCCACAATTTCCACAGAATAATAAATACATCACTTAGTGTCAAGGCCGAGTTTTGAATTGGTACTAGAATTCTTAGTGGCCCACCAGATTTTATTAATTTTGGGTTAATTTTCTTTTTTCCTATTCTAGGTCTATAAGCTTAGGCTTATTTCCATAGTTAGGAATGTCCAATTTGTAGGGCTGATAGTTCTTGAGATCGCTGGACCCTGCATTATATAAACTTGGGCTTGAGGTGCTCACCTACATTAATTTTAATGGTTATACCCAGCTTTTATTATGCTCTACCCCACTGGTTCTTTTGCTTTTTAACTTGTTCTGTCTAAATACATTTAAGGCATACTGAACATACTCACTTGAAAATATTTTGGCATCTGATGTAATGGTAAATGTGTAATAATAATGATTAACATGTGTTTAGAACCTGCCAATTTAACACATTCACATTTATTATTTCTTATATTCCTCATATAAATTCTATAGAAATTTGATGAATGACCGTATCAAGAGTTAAATCTGCACATCTGTCTGTGTATACACGAATTAGGAGATTTTTCCACTATACAGTATGACTTAATATGGCCTAATCTGTCTCTAAACTTTTGTTTGTAAATGTTAAGTGTACCTAATGCTTATATGTAATACAAGAGCACTTCAAAAAGTTCATGGAAAGACTCATATTATCTTTCAATTCTATTTTTCCACAAGCTTTTTGAAGTACTCTCATGTGTGATACATTATATATGTATAATTTTACTTGTATGACTACATATATCCCTATGTAGAAATATTTGCATATTCAGTCCACCTTCATTAAGTTACACGTGCATGCACACACACACACACACACACATCTCATGGGATTGGGAGACCAACTGAGATACAGAATGAGAAAGACAACCTACTGGGCAAGTGCAGTTGACTGACAGTTCCAGCTGTCACGCCTTTGGGTCCACCAGGGCATTCACGCCAAGGCCACACTTTCTCTGAGATGCTTCCAGTATATGACTGAATAGAGCAATGTTACTAGAAGGGAACCATTTCTTCCCTGTCATGTGACTCCTCTGAAAGGCATCATTGGCAGGGAAACTCCTTCCCATCCAAATATATCGTTACAGATGTTGGATGAGCCTAAAAACTAGCATCTCCAATTTATGCCTGGGGTTCTGAACCAATCAAGAAATAAGGCAAAAGGATTGGCATTTGGAGATTAGAATATTCTTACCAACCTCTATTACTGATTATGATTACATTGGAGAAGGTGACACATCCAGGAGCAAGGGACTTCCTAATACTAAACTCCAGAATTACATAGATTATCTATCTAGAAACAGAAAGCACTGGCCCCACTACTCCTCCCCTGCATGTAGGGAGTGATTGAGAGTCTGTGTTCTCTGCATGTGGGTTGGATCTCGAAAGGAAGGGGAGAGGAATGGGAAGAGCTACTCAGGTCCCTTTCCCTATCCCACACTCACCAATCAGGTAAGTTACTCTCCTTTGATTTAGCATATATTTTGTTATTTTCTTTACTTTGAATTGAGATCAATCCAAAGACCACATATATTTGGATTTGATGACTGTGATCAGAGTTTAAGTCATTGCTGACAACACAAGCTGGAGGACAGGGAATGGTGTGGTTGCTTCATATGTGCTAACTAGACTGAAGATTATGTGCATTTTTAATTTTTTTAGAACAGAAAAGAAAACTGGAGAAATGACTTCATTTACCCCAGATGGAACTAGGATATTCAGTATAGCATGCTGACAAGCATAGGAGTGTCATTTTACTGATGAGTACATCATCTGATGTAATTAAGTAGCATGGCCCAAGGGAATGTTCTGCTTCTGTCAGTCATCACCAAATTATTTTCATGGAATGTCATCATAAAAAGTTACCATAAGAAGGTATCTGAGACGTTATAAAGCTGTGAAGCCAAATTAATATTATTTCCTCTTTTGACAGAGTTACTCTAGATATATCAGGGGAACGCCATAGGCAAGCTATGTCTCAACGCAGCAAGACAATTAGCAAAGTCTTTCACGATATGGAATTTTAGGATGGGTAATAGGGAAGTCAGA